TTAAACAAGACATTCATTTAACTCGAGGTGTATACTTCAAAGAGTGGAAGTTTCCAGAGCACCCGGAGTCTGATCAGTAAAGGCATTTGAGAGCGGTTGGTCCTGTAACCTCCAATGCATCATGCAGGATGCCCATTGGCTGGTCTCGGGTGAGAGGAAGGGCAGTCCCAGTTTTAGCCTTGTGAATGAGCTCAAGACACTACCTGGAGATGGACCTTCCCACACTTCAGGCAGAAGGGAGCATCCCGCTGAAAAAGCCTCAATCATTGCCTTGCTTCCTGCTCCGTCTATGCAGGTCTAAATGTGGAAGGAAAGTTTAAAACATTCAGAGGAAAGCACAGAATGAAGCTTCCATGAACTTGGGTAACGGTTCTTATATAAGACATACTAGCCACAAATGATAGTTCACCAGGAGTAAGTCCAGGACTGTTCCTGGGAAATCCCACGATTGACATAATCATGGTTTAGACTTTAATGAGGCTGGTGATTATTAGTCCTCTTGTCCTGTCGTAACCGAGCGCCATATGCTGAGTGGCTTAAATGGTAGTAGTGTATTGGGGCCAGCTTTTTGGGTTCTGGGGGCAGCTCTGTTTTGCAGATGACCACATTCCTATTGCGTTCTAACAAGCAAGGAGCGAAGTGGAACAGAGAAGGGAGAGGAGAGGAAAGAGGGTGACTGTTTTTGTACCATGTAGCTGTAGCTGGCCTAAAACTTGCTGTGTGGACTTACCTGCCTCAAACATGCCTCCGACTCCTGAGTGCTGAGATTACAGTCACAGTTTTATTGGATTAAGCACCTAGCTTTGTGCCCTCCTTAACCTTAACTGCCTTATAAAACCCTCTCCTCCATGGTCACATGGGAATTTGGTACACAGGCGTATTAATTTTGGAGGGATGCAATTCAACCCATAGGGATGCCCATGCATTTTCTAGTAGTATGTGTTGTTGCCTACCATGCTTCTTGCTCTGTTATGCCTCCAGTATCCAGTTTTAAGGAACAATTGGCTGCACAACTGTTTTCTTCTCCCAATAAAAAAAAGTCTTCCCAAGCCCATTTGTATTGTGCTCTTGCTATACTTTGTATTTTTTGGGCTACGTTGTTTACATTCTTATCGCAGAAGCTGTCACATAATGGAGCCCATTCTCAATGGATGTTGGAGATGGGAGAGGTGATTCCATTGTTTGATGATCTAGTTTTATCTGTGACTGGGAGGTCTGAATTCTGTCTCAGGAATGTAGACTAGGGAAGTGTGAGCGGGATTTGATGGGTACTAGATGCATCTATTTTTTGATCTTGGTGGCATTACAATGTGCTCATCTTCCTAGATGTAATTCTTCAGACTGGATACCAGTCCTACATACCTACGTACATTACATGTTAATAAAACATGTGCCCTGTGTATTCCACACATATAATATATGTCTAGGTTGGTAAGGCATTATGCTAGTGTGAGTTTGTAGGAATAGTTATGCTTATATATTATTTAGCAAAGTACAGTTTTCTCTGGCCAAGTTTTCGAAATGGAAGGCATTTACCTTTGGCTGAGCAAGGGCACATCTAGAAATGAGCCCTGCAGTCTACGATAACGTGAGCGAACGGTCCTACTCTCAAGGTCACTCACTGCAACGTTGTTTATCACGATACAATGGAAAACAACAGAAAAGAGAACAGATAAATCAAACATCACACGATAGAGTATTATTCAGATGTTAGCGAGGAAGCAGAATATCTGCTGACTTGGAGATGTCTGTGGCTTAATACATATGCAGAAGGTGCTCTTGTTTGCGATTAGCACAAGTGTACGTGACATTCTCGGTGTTTCTAGATGCGTGTGGAAAGCCACCCAGAACACCTGGTGGCTTTCCAGGAAGGGAAAGGTAAAAACAACATTTTGTTATGTCCAATCTACTCAATAAACATTGCAAGTTTTATTTCATTTAAGTCCGTGAAACCAAAACATGATTTTTCGCCCTTCTGTGTTTCCCTCACCTTCATTTAGGGTAGCGTCGAGCATTCCACAGTGAATGTTCCCCTTATCTTCTTCCCTTCTATCCACGGGGTAGAAGTCAGACTCCTCATCTAATGATGTTGAGGAGAGTAGGGAAGGCCGTTCGCCTGCCGGCAACATCATTAATTGAGTTTAAACCACCAGAGAATTGGAGTGCATTTTTTTAAAAACAAAACATTCAAAGTAATTTTTACCATTGTTAGTTCCATCCCCCACCCCCGAAGGCAGGAAGCCGGTGAATGTCATGAGTCTCATTTGTCTCTGGCTAGATTCACATGATCCAGTTGTCATACTGGAAGGAGAGGGAGCCTTCAGGGAATGTGACTTCAATTGCAGGGGAAAGGGATGGGCTCCTTCTAAAGCCAACCTTACATTTGCCACGAAGACAGCTTTATGTCTGCGGCCCCAGGACCCACAGTACGCAGAGGCTCTCAGAAGTAAAACAGGTTTTAAAAAGTGGGGCCTGCAAGAAAGAAACAAGAGGTGCATTTGAAGAAAGAAAGGAAACTGTCTCCTCAGTCAGCTATGACCATCCAGAACAGGCAGAAACAGCATGGATAAGAAAAGAAGTCAGCTCCCCTCTAGCAGAGCAGTCAGTATGCTAAAAACCCATGTTTGCAAAATTGACACTGGGCAAGTTATGTAACGGGGTTTCAAATGTGGAGACAATGTGGCGGAAGGGGGCAGTGGGGGCTGGGATTGCCGGGTACACAAAGCTGAAAGTGGAGCTAGGCCTGGCGGCACTAACTGTCATTATTCCAGCACTCGGAAAGACTAAAGAAGGAAGATTTTCATTTCATGCTGTGGGCTTTGCAGTGAGTTCCAGGTGAACCCAGGCTACTCGCTTAAGCTCTGCCTGGAAAAGTAAAACAAAACAAATTGCAAACAACAGCAACAAACCCTCTGAAGATGCAGTTATGGTTACCGTCTATTCATTGGGGGAACACACACTGCAAGCAGAGCCTGGGGAGAAACTGTGAGTCTCCTGTAGGATCTGTCCTCCACCTGATCTCCTTGAGAGCCTGGCTCTGCTCTGGCCGCAGAAGGTGGTGACTTAGTTTCGGTTCTGTGCATTTGAGGATAGTTGGTGCATGGGTGTGGGCAGCTGACTCAGCCTTTCCCTGCCTCCATTGCTATGGCTGTGAAAAGGGTAGGTAGTGCAAATAGTCACACCTTCTTGTTATGGTTGCTATGGGTTTTTTTTTTTAAAGCACTTCAAATGGGGCTGGAGAGATGGCTTAGCGGTTAAGAGCATTGCCTGCTCTTCTAAAGGTCCTGAGTTCAGTTCTCGGCAACAACATGGTGGCTCACAACCATCTGTACTGAGCTCTGGTGCCCTCTTCTGGCCTGTAGACATACACACAGACAGAATATTGTATGCATAATAAATAAATAAATAAAAAGCCCTTCAAAGAGGGCCCTGTACCCAGAAGATGCCATACATATAATACACACACATCATACATATAAACATATTAAGATGTTAGTCTTTTTTTGCCTTATGAACACTTTATTTTTTTAATTGATTTTTATTGAGATCTACATTTTTCTCTGCTCCCCTCCCTGCCTCTCCCCCTTCCCCCTTCAACCCTCTCTCAAGGTCCCCATGCTCCCAACTTACTCAGGAGATAAAATGTTAGTCTTAATACTCATGAATATTATTTATTCAAATTTATAAACCAGGGGGTCATTTTAAGTGAGAAAGAGAAAGAGCTGAACAACAAGGAGGCGTCTACATTAGGACACTGGATTGATCAGGGATACCCCAAGAACTCCTCTGATGTCAAAAGTCACTGTTGATAGGAACTCAAAAGAAAGATTCAAACAGCGGTGGCTTCCAGGCCAAGAACGCTGAAAGCAGATTCCAGTGTGGCACGGAGGCGGGGGGAGATGACCTCTAGTGGCCTCGATGATCTATGGTGACAGAAAGTATCTCTGCAGAGTCACCTTGCTTGGGTTCCCTGCCAGGCTTCACCTCAGAACTGTAGTTCAGTCTGGATGTAGTTCAGTGTAAAAGGAGAAGCTGCACTGTCCCGGCTTGGACGTCCAGGTACTCGAGTTGAGGGGAACTTTGGGTTTATTAATGGGACAATTGCACACCTGCAAATGCCAAAGGGCAAGGAAATATATTCTCACCTTGCTAACAGGATTGGGTTCAACTGGGATCAAGAGTAGGAATCAGGGACAGGGACGTCAGTCAACACTCCTCCAGGAAGGTTAACTGGAAGGGGCCGGGTGCGGTTCTGTCAGGTGGGGCGTGGCGATCACCCGCAGACCTCAGTTAGTGGCCGCAGTATCAATCTGTGGGGCGCTTCCTAAGGCCTTTGATCTTTCCCCGGGATCTGGCGAGGGCCCGTTTTCCTTTCGAGTGCATTCCTCTTGGTTTATTTATTGTATCTGCTTTCATCAGGGCCTGGAGGTCAGAACGCACTTTGCGCTGGAGCTAGCACTCTTTGGGGGCAGTACTGGAAACTCCAGCCAGCCGCCTACTGCTGGAGGGGAGGGGTTCTGTTCTTGGCTGGGGAGCTAAGTGCTGGTCCCCCTCCTTGTTCCTGTTCCGCAATCCCAGCCTGGCCGGCAAATGTCCCTGTCAGAAACGGGCTTGAAGTTACCAGGATTACAAGGGAGTTTGATCTCTTTCTCTGAAGGGTCTAGAGTTGTCATCCGCCACTATGAGGGGGCCTGTTCCCCAGGCTCTAGACCCTAATCTCCATTCAGCTTTTGCTTCTGAGTGGCCTAGCCTCAGCTCTCCATCTGTGCGCCCTTAAGTCCCATTTATCTTCTTAGCACCCCAGACTTGGCCAGCCCCGCCCCCTTGTCCCCACTTGCAAATTACAGCCCCTCCCTTGCTCTTCCTCTGGAGCGCCAGACAGAGTAGAGTAACCTTTGAGGTGTTAGGAAAAGTGACTTAAACTGGGTGAAACGACACAGAGAGGGCGTGGGGGGGGGGGGGAAGAAGGGTCCCGCCAGAGAAGCCCAGACACCCCAAGATTCCAGAGTCAGGACCCAGTCTAGGACCCTGAACCCGCAGTCTGAGTCAACGAACTCACGCGGAGTGTAGAAGTCGGTCCCACCCAGGCCCCCAATCTAGGTCACCCGCGGGGAAGGGCTGGCCTGGGGGCTGTCTGCTCCGGGGGTGGGCGAGGAGTGAATTGATTCAGACCCTGCCCCTCGCTCTTCCAGTAGATTGTAATTCCATCTCTGGTGGGTCGAGCTGCCCTCCCTCCGGCGGCCAGTGCGTCCCTCCCCTCGGCCTCCAACGTCCACTCCCCAGCCCTGAAAAGCCCTGCAGCCGCGAGCCCGCTCCACTCCTGCACGCCGGGCTCCTAGCTGCTGCCTTGCCTCCTCGGACTCCCCAGTGGCTCCTGGTCCAGCTCTCTCGGCCCCCCACCTCCTCACCCACGCGCCACTGGCGTCCCCGCGTCCCCCAGGAGACGCCCTTTCCCTGCGCGCCCGGGACTTGGTGAAACTTTGCAGACACCGTCGGTGAGATGGATTTAATCCCAACCTCCTTGCTCTGTTTCTTACTCCTGGCCTGCAGCCTCCCACCCGGCGCCGGCGCCGTGACACTCCAGACCGCTCTGCGAAAATCAGGTAAGGCTCTCAGAGTGCGCCACGAGCCATGGTGCCCGGAGCACCCTAGTCCCGGGCTTTGGTGGGGTCGCAGAGCAGGCTGCTCCATGCTGCTCTCTCCGCTGACCGGCATGGGCTTATCCCGCGTAGGCTGTGCGCAGAGCTCAATCGAAGGGTGAGCCTCGCCCTCCCCCAGCTCAGGCGGTTCCAGGGAGATTGTTTAAAAAAACGGATCTGCTTTCCAGAGCTAGCAGAGGTGGTGGGCTCTGTATGGGACCACAGACTGCTAAAAGTTGAGGGCAGCGACCGCTTGGTCTTGGTTACTGAGGGCTGAGAGAGCGCAGACGACTTCAACAGCTCCTCCTGCTTCTTTGAACATCTTATTGGATTCATATTGCCTAGAGCCCAGCCATTTCCTGTTGAGTGTCTGAAGGTTTGCCTGGAGCCCCCCCCCCCCCTTCCTGGCTCTGGTCCTGTCCAAGCACTGGGTAGGGACCTGCACTTTCTCTGCTGTTGGGATACTCTTGTACCCCGAGGCCATTTGTGCAGAAAGGAGCCCTTAGTGGGTTAACCTGATCTTGTTTAGAACCCCTGTCTTTGCTCTGCTGTTCAAACAAAGATGCATGCGCTGTAGGGCTAGTACAAAGGACCTGTGAGAACGTGAAGCCACAAAAACTCGCATTTCTTCTGGGTAAAAGTATGTTTTTTTTTTTCAAATCTACATTGATTTAACTTATGTCATGAGGGAAAGTAGAACATTCGAAACAATAAAGTTCCAAGCATTGCTTCCAAATAACGATTTTTAGTCATTGTTGGCCAGGACCATATTTAGAATTGGGGGGAAAAATCTGCTTTTTCTTAGCTTACTTTGCAAGTGGGGGTTGTCTTATGGGATTAATTACGTCTTCTGAACAATGGAAAACAATCTACTATTTGGATTCAGCCTGCAAAACCTCACAGCAAGTGGAGTCCCCCTTCACAATGTTTCTACAAGAAAGAGGCAACCCAGGAAAAATTATCGGAGTGCAAACAAAATAATCTTGGCAGGTTCCCACTTGGCTGCTTAAGTATTTCTTATTGCTGAAGGATCTATGGGGAGTAGCGGGACTGTCGTCTTTCATGCTAGGAGTTGCTTCCGTCTTCAGGATGCATCCGGGGTCACCTGTATCCCCGTACCTGACTTGGAATTTAGGAGCATTCTTAGCTTCAGCCTGACACTCGGATTGGGAACAAATCTGTCTGCACACCGCCCAGTTCATTTGGGAGGCAAGAGCAGCCACCTGAGGTAGTTTCATATTAAATTGTCTTCTCGCGTCTTCGTATAGCTTCCAGCACTTCAATATAAGGCGCCTTTGAACTCTCTTCCTTAAGAAAACTGCGCTATGATCACTTGCATCCTGCAGGTTTCTGCACATGAAACCACCATCTAGCTGCACGGTTGGAGAGCTCATGCATACATCCATTCATGGCTCTCAGCCTGAGAGACACACACAGGGTTCTCCAAGAATAAACTTCGAGCCATGCAAACAGAGTGTAAAATTATTGTGCAAAAACCTGCTCTATAAAATTGTACACGATTTGCCCCATTTGCCCTTTACTTCCTAATTTTCGGTCGTTCCTCTCCTCAAAACATCTTCTACCCGGTTCACCCAGCATCTTGCTCAGATATTCATGTCACCAATGTATTGTGTTGACTTCTTTGTTTTTATTTGAAGTATTGATGGGGATGATTTTGGAAAAAACAAAAAAACAAAACTTCCTTTTAAATTTTCTTGGGCCCCATCAAGGTGGAAGGTATATTTAAACTAAGCTGCAGCCTAGAAGAACTTTAAAAAAAAATAACTTCATAATTTTATCCAGACAACGACTTTCAGGTTGAAAAGCTGCTTGGGTGAAAATGACAGGTACTTCATAAACTTCAGGGGAAATTTTCCTTGTGGGCTCATTTATATCCCATGGAAAGACTAGTTTTTGATCCGTAAAATTGGTCCAGATTAAAAACTGAGTGTGCCCCAGTTGGCTCAGAAGTGAGCAGCAAGGAGCTCATTTGTAATCTCCCCCAGACACCCCAAATCCTGCTCCAATTCGTATGGGGTGACCTTGTGCCTTGCCGCCCCCGCCCCATAGAAATTGGCTTGCGTGCAGCACTTTGAAGGTGGTGTGGCCTTCATGCAGGCATTGCAAAGCAGTCTGTTTTGTTTAGCCCTTCCTCTTGGCTCAATCGACTTTTGATAAGTACAGTTTAGTTGAGAAGTCTTGGATCCCAATTAACCTGAAGGTTGCCTCTCTTCTTTTTAGAAAGAGATGGGTAGAAAAGAGCACCTTGCCCCTTCCCCCACGGTGTAGAACCTTCTGGTATTGAGCATTAGGAAAGAAAGCTCCACCTATGCCAACACACACAGGAGTTGCCACTGCAGTGCTCAAATAAAGTCAAATTAAATAATAATAAGGGACACTAATTAAGGGCTCGTTACACTGTTGTGAGAACTGATTTCTTTAATCAAGCCAGCAGCCTTGTTTCTTTGTTTTACTGAGGGGGAAACAGCGACTTAGAGAGAAGCTCGATATCTTACCTGAGGCCTTACAGAGGCTAAGTGCTGGAATGAGAATTTAGGTTCTGGTGTTTGACACCAAATCCCAGTCCTCAGCTGTCTTGTTTGCAGAGCTGTGTAGCCTTGGGTGTTTTCAAGGCTGAGTTCTTCTGGGACAGAGCCCTGCAACCTGGCCTTACTGTTTGGTGTGGGAGACCTGTGTCACCTATGAAATATGACATGGGCCCCAAATAAAATAGTACCTAGACTACTGGTGTGGTTTGCAGGAAGATACTGTCCCCTGACCTCCTACGTAAAGAGTGAGTAGTTATTTGCTGGGTTTTTTTTTTTTGTTAGACTTTTGGGCATTAATGCTTGTGGGGGCCAGAAAGACACTGAAAACCCTTGGGGGTAGAATAGTGAGGAGGTGGAGGGTCCTATGTCCATACAACTTTAACACGCCACCCCTGCAGGCCTCCATGGATGTGTAAGCACAGTGAGCTGGAAAGACTTCACTCCTGTTCTGCTGTAGGTCAGAGGCAGGTGAAAACCCATCATTTGACGAGAGGTCCTGAGGGATTTGTCCAAGTCGACATCAAAAGCTGAACTGGGGTGGTGTGAAGACCCCCAACACGCGAGGCCTATAGCCTGCTGCTTCTGCTCCTCAGCAAAAATTTCACGGGGAGGGAGGAGTCACCCAACCCTGGGGACAAGCAGGGAAGAACCCACCCATAGTCCACGGGCAGATCTGTACCTCTGGCCTTCGTTATGAAGGTCATTTCTAGGCAGCTCTGTTGAAAGGAAGACATCTAGGAAAATTCTCCATTTCAGGGGAGCTAGCTCATAGGCAGATGCCCTTTGGTGACGAGAGAGAGAATACAGGCTCCCTAGATGGTTAATGTTGGGTAAGGCTGAAGGCCAGAGGTGATCATTACTGGATTTGTTTAGTTGTCCTTTGCATAGGTCTTAGATGACCACACTTTGTTTAACTGTCCACTAGGGAATGGCTTTTGAGGTGTTTTAGCCGTGATGAATGGCCGTGGTGAATGAGGTTGCTACATGCAGCTATCTATGTGTCTCTGGTTGGATATGCTTTCATTTCACTTGGCAAGGTGCTGAGTGGGATCCTTGCTTCCCATAAAATGGACTTTGCAAGAAAACACTGAATGGTTTTACAGAGTAGTTTTACTCTTCTGCATTCCTAGGAGCAACGTATGGGAGGTTCACTCATCCTGGATTCCCTACAACATCTGGGACATGTTCTAGTTTCATTTCTGCAGCTGTGAGGGGAAAAAACCAAAACCTGACAAAAAGAAAATTAGGGAAGGAAGGGTTTTGCTCAAAATTCCAGGTTGGTCCATCACTGGAAGTGACAGGAACTGGAAGCAGCCTGTTGTGTCGTGTTCAGTCAAGAGCAAAGCGAAATGAATGCATGGGTATTCACTTGCTTCTTTGCTTGCGCTCAGGGACTTCCTTGCTCTTCTATGGTCAGGATCCCCCTAACTAGAGAATGGTGCTGCCCACAGAGGGCTGGGCCTTCCTTCATCAACCCATTTATTTATTCCCATAATTCCCACAGGCCAATTCAGTGTTGACAATCCCTTACCAATATTTTCTTCCCAGGTTATTCTAGGTTGTACCAAGTTGAAAGTTGAAGCTAACAATAAGGCATAATTGCTTCTTTGTCATTTCTCTGGTTTTGTTTGGTTTTGCTTTGTTTCTAATAGGTGAACAATGATATATCTCATTATAATTTTAATCTTTGTTAATGTTCCTTTTTTTATGAGTCATCTGCCTCTCAAGTTTCTTTGAGTCTTTTGACTTTTTATGAAAAAAGAAATTGAGATGTGTGCTTTCTTACTGATTTTTTTTTTTAGTATTCTTTGTACATTTTGAGTGCAGTCCTTTACATAATCCAGACATTTCCTTTGAAAACACTAGCTTCTCAGGTGCTATTTGCCAGTTTTTTTATGCACATATGCATGTGTGTACAGGAGAGTGTGGGTGGCTGGGTACATGTGTGTATCCAGGAGTATGTGGGTGGGTGCTGGGTATATGTGTGTGTGTCCAGGAGTGTGTAGGTGGTTTTTGCGTGTGTGTCCAGGAGTGGGTGGGTGGGTACATGTGTGTGTCCAGGAGTGGGTGGGTGGGTACATGTGTGTGTGTGTGTCCAGGAGTGTGTGAGTGGGTATATGTATGTGTGTGTGTGTCCAGGAATATCTGGGTGGGTAGTATGTAGAGGCCAGAGGACAACTTTGGATCTCATGCTTCTAAGCCTTATCCACCTCTTTTGACAAAGGGTCTCACCTTGGCCTGGAGCTAACCAATTAGGCTGGACTTGCTGGCCAATGGACCTCAAGGGTCCCCCTGCCTCTTTCTCAGCAGCATTGAGATTATAAGTACATGTTACCTGCCCAGAAGTGCTAGCTGGATTCTCGAGATTGGATTAGGATCTTCATGCTTGTGAGGCAAACACTTTACTGACCTAGC